CGTGTACTCTCCACGTGTACTCTCCACGTGTACACTACACGTTCTCTCCACGTGTACTCTCCACGTGTACACTACACGTACTCTCCACGTGTACTCTCCACGTGTACACTACACGTACTCTCCACGTGTACTCTCCACGTGTACACTACGCGTGTACTCTGTACGCGTACGCACTGCGCCGTGACAGCTCGGGCCGCGGTGCGCCTCTTGAGCGTTACGCATTCACGACACACACCGCCGGTGTCACGCCGCGTGTGATACTGGCACGCACACAGGTCTATGTAGGACACGGGGTACTGCAGCTGCACAGGCGAACAATGCGCACTGCACATCACGTGCACACGGCACGTGTGTGGGTGCCGTACTGTGGGAAGTGGTGGTATAATGGTTAGCGCACTGCGCGGCGAATCTGACGACCCGAGTTCGATTCCCGCCCACTACCAATAACAGTGGCGAATAATCTGAACTGGTCATGGGTATCCCCTAGGTCGACTTAGCCTGGGTGAAACAAAGGCGACCGGTCGTGGTGCTGGCCACCCGCACCTTCGTGTGCCGTGCCGGCCTTCATCGGCGCTCGCTGACAGCACTTGACCCAGCAGTCGGCGCAAGGCTATACGGGGGATCTTTGCTGTATTACAAAAATGCAATGAGTGCTCAGGTCAGCAGTGGCACACACTGGAATCTGTGCTGTGTATTAGTCCATGCGTACCTGACATGCCCTTCACCATCATCACCACACGTGTACACGTACAGTATGTGTGTGTACGGCTTAATCAAAGTGCCTGGTGTCTACGATGCATATATGGAGATCATCATCATCACATACGAGAAGTCGAACACGCGCGTGTACACGTACATCAACACACGCGTGTACACGTGCATCAACACACGCGTGTACACGTGCATCAACACACGCGTGTACACGTGCATCAACACACGCGCCCATAGATGCGAGCAACGCTGAGAGACTCACGTGCGCGGGGCACGGGGCCGCATGGTGGTGGTGGTGATCTCGCTGCTGCTGCTGCCTCTCTCCTCGCTTCTCTTCCTGCTGCTGCTCTTTACTGCGTTCCGTGTCTTGCTGCTGCTGTCCCTGCTGCTGTTGGCTTCTCCTCGCGATCTCGCTGCTGATTTGTGCTGCTCCTGCTGCTGCTGCTCCACGCTTCTCTCCTCGCTGCTGCTGCCTCCGCGTGCATGCGGAGCCTCAGCCCGACCCCTTCGCCTGTGTGAGTGCGTGCGTGTGTGTCAGTGCGTGTGTGAGTGCGTGTGTGTGCGCGCGTGAGTGCGTGTGTGTGTGCGTGCGCGCGTGCGTGTGTGTGAGTGGGTGAGTGCGTGTGTGAGTGAGCGCGTGCGTGTGCGAGCGCGCGTGTGTGTGCGCGTGTGTGTGTGCGCGTGTGTGAATGTTAATGTGTTCTGTATGTCTGTGTGTCGTGGCTGTACGCATCTCTGTGTCTGTTGTCTGCACATACACGTGGGAGTAATCCGTATGCGCTTCTGCCCGTGTTTGTTTGGTGTGTGTGTCTTTGTGTAGCGATAGTGTAGCAGTTACACTACAAAACCCCAGTTCGATTCTCGCTCACGACCCAACACCTGTGACAATTACAGTATCTAAACGAGGTTCTGGGCCTCATCTAGGTCGACTCAGCCTTAAATGAGTACGAGCTGGTGCGGCATGTAGTAAACATCAGCAAATGCGGACGGGTGTGGCGCTGGCCACCTCATCCCGGCCTTAATAGGTGCTCACGAACAGCACTTGTCCCAGCAGTCTGTTACGGAATATACGGGGGTCCTTTTTTCTTTTGAATGTCTGCCAATATCTGTGTATGCGTATAGTATATATAGTATATATGCGTGTGTGAATCTGTGCCTGTGATTCTGTGCGTATGTATAGGTTCTATGTGTGTAAATATATATTCTGGCCCTTATAGGTGCTCGCTAACAGCACTTATCCCTCCCTGTCCGCCTATGTAGAATATTCCGGGGGGAATCTTTGTCTTTGCGTGTATGTGTGTGTAGGTTTCTATATCTGTATGGCTATATCTGTGTGTGTGTAGGTTTCTGTATCTGTATGGCTATGTCTGTGTGTGTGTAGGTTTGTGGGGGCTAATGCCCCCCTCCTCCTCTCCCCCTTCAACCTCCTCCCCTTCACGCCGGGCTGCCGCCGATCGAGTCATCGGCCTCCCCGCACCAGCGTCCTCTCTGTGGGACATGGCTCGTGGCTGGCTCTCCACCGCCTCATGTTATTCTGCCTCCCACCCCCCGTGTAAACCACCACTCACGCTGCGGGGGCTGCAGGCGCGCGCACACCCGGACCTGCTGCCCACCACGTGTACGCACAGCCACCCGTACTTCTTGCCCACCACGTGCACGCACTACACAATAGCTGTATGAATAAACATGCACCGTGTACCACGTGGCGCAGCTTCTGTGGGGGCTACCGTCCCCCGCCATCACCGAATTGTCGGGGCCGTTGGCCACCGACTCCCCCGTTAAATTCATACCACTACCACAACTGCAACACCCGCGGTATGATTATGCCCGTGGGTACCCGTGTACCTCACGGCGCAGCTCTACTCACGCGGTAACCACCGCCAGCAGCATCGCGTGCTTGAATTGTGTAATCTTGTTTCATTTACCGTCGCAGCCGGTCGGAAGCAACTAATTAGGCTGCGCTGCGGAATACCCGCTCACCAATTGATCTCTACGCGCTACATGCGCGGCGCATGCCGTGAGCGCCGCTGCTCCTGCACGCCCCCGTACTGGCGCGGGCGAAGTACAACCAGTACCACACGAGGCAGAGGCTCACCACACCACGCACTAGTGGATTTAATGATCGAAGGACCTGTACTTTAATTCCCAGGGTGATAGCACGTTACTGCTGCCCCGGCATGCGCGTCAAGCCCCGAGTGGACCCACCCGTGCGAACGTAAACACGTAGGTAAAATTACTCATTCACGCGCAAACAAAAGAATCACCGCGGGCAGGCTCGCCACACCACGCACCGCCCCTCTGTACTCACAAAGACAACACGACACGGTTTATACCCTACGGACGGTTTATTCCCCACGAATAAACGAACTAGACTGTGCGTGTCAGTATGGACCAGCAGGACAGGTCTAACCTATCTCGCTACTGCCTGATACTTAATCGACCTGTCTGCCCTCTATTTTCTCTCCGAATTTCGTCCCTTTGTCTTACCTCTCTCCCTCGTACTTACGGTCCGACCTCGCAGTGATGGAGGTTACGGATAGATGATGCTGTAAACAGAATCTGGCTGTTCTCTGCCCCGTCTCACGGACGTGTGAGTAACAGTCAGGTGACGGCTCCTCGATCCCGCCCTCCTGTTGATCTCCAGTCAAATAAAAATGGCCTCGTGCTTCCCCAAACCGTCCCTTTTTATCCTCCTTTCAAAGCCCTTGCACCGCCCATCCACGGTGCATCACGGGTCGGGCCGTTAATCCGCGGTGCATGATGGGTAGGGCCGTTAATCCGCGGTGCACCATGGGTAGAGACGCTAACCCGCGGTGCACCATGGGTAGAGACGCTTAACCTGCGCTGCCCCGCTCCCCACCTGTCTGCTGGTCCGTGTGTGTCCTGGGCATCTCCTCACTGCGGTTCTCAGTGAGTTCGCCGTGGTCATTTAATTCTAAGTTAAGCCACGGCGCCGCAGTGCCATTTGGCCTGGGGGGGGGGGGGGGCTGCCAATTCCCTGACCCTGAGAAACCGTGGAGCACCCCCACGAGGGGGCCTCTCGGGTAAAAACTCAGGGCAGGTGCACCCCCCCTCCCCACGAGGCCCTACTTGAGTGTGTTTATGTGGGGGGGGGGGGGGGGGGGGTGGCAGGGGAAGTGCTGTGACGGGAGCCGGGTGGCTTCTCGGTAGCAGCAGCACAGCGACGGCTCCGGTTTCAACGGAGCGGCTTCGCTGTTGTGGCACCACACTTCACTCAGACCTGCTGCCCACCACGTGTACGTACAGCCACCCGTACTCGTTGCCCACCACGTGCACGCACTACACAATAGCTGTATGAATAAACACACACTGTGTACCACGTGGCACAGCTTCACTCAGACCTGCTGCCCACCACGTGTATGCACAGCCACCCGTACTCGCTGCTTACCACGTGTACGCACCACACAATAGCTGTATGAATAAACACGCACCGTGTACCAGGTGGCGCAGCTTCACTCGCCCCCACGTTCAAATTACACACCACGCTGACGCTTTCTCCACACGCACAGAAGTCACACGACGTAGGTGTTCTTGGCTAAAGTTTATTACTGGTGCGACTGTAAGCAAACCTTGCGTGGCCCGGAGCCAAAACTATCCAGCGAGCAGCGTCACAGCTGTACCCCACCCTCCTCACCTATCTCTAACTAAGCCCTCTGGGAGCCCTCACACTATCCCTCACCCCTCTTACGTACTCACGATTTCGACTCCGAGGTGTAGGAAGCCGTGGGAAGGCGAGACTGCACGTAGTCCTCGCTGGGAACGGGGCCTTGCTGCGCTGCGACTCATTTCACGGACGATCCAGTAGCAGGCACGATGACTCCTCTGATCCTTGACTCCAGAAGAAACCGACTGCCTTGCCCCTACCTTCCCTGCCCTTTTTATGGTCCCTCCATCAAAGATAACGTGCCACTAATTCGCTGGCCTCTCGTCCAATCAGGAGCCTCGGATTTCCCGCTCTTTGCTAATCTGATCGGTGCTCTCGCCGACGTCCGCTTTTTACTCTTTGAACAAGCACACACGTCGTGCAAGGAGAGGGCCTCCTGCCTTCCCACCGCTCGCTACTCCGCCCCACCCCCTACCTGCCTGCTGACCCGTGTGTGAGTTTTAGTTGTTTCCTATCCACGGTGGCTCAGCAGCCCCGTCGTGACCATGTAATTACAACACAAGTCACGGCGCCGCGGTGCACGTTAGCCTCGGGGGAGGTCGCCCAATTCCCTGGTCGCAGGATACCGGGAAGTTTGGTCCCATGAGAGGGCTTCTGGGTGAAAACCTGTCGGCCAGGTGACCTCCCCTCGGGGCTCTATGTGGGGGTGTGTGTGTGTTCATGTGGGGGGTGGTGAGGGAAGAGCAGCGTCGGCCCCGTCGCTCGGAGGTGGCGGCATCGCGGCCACGGAGTCGGCAGGATGGCTTCGCTGCTGCGGCATCACAGTGGCAGGCACGGCACCGATGGAGCGGCTTTGCTGCTGTCGCACCACATAGCCCCCCGAGGTGCCAGCCCCCGTCCCTGGAGCACCTCGCCTGGGTTGCCCCCAGGAGGTAGTACCACGGGGTCCACGGGACTCGCCCGGCCCTCGTGGCCGGCCTCGGAGGTGGTGGCTTCGTCTCCCGGGGTTCTGGCGGCGGTCTCCTCCTCCACTCCGACGGTTCTCCTTGGCCCTCGGCACCTGTGGGCTGGGGGACAAACGCAGAGGCAGCGGGGTTTAAGGGCCGTCGTCTCCGCCCCCCCCCCCCCCCCCCCCGGCCTGGGCCGTGACCCCTCGGGGCCCGAGGCCCCGTGGGGCCCATATACCGTGCGAGGCCCCCGAGCCTGGGGGGTGTGGGGTACTTGAACGGCGGGGTACCCCCCCCTGCTGGAGCTGCCCTCCATGGTTTTAATCGGCGGACGTTGACGACCATCTCCCGGCCCCTCTCTTCTCCCTGAATTAGCGCCATCCAGGGGGAGATCTGCCGTCCCATGGTCCAGGGTCCCCGCCAGTAGGTGGTCAGTTTCCCCACCTGTCCAGCCCCAACGCGAGGAGTGTGCAGCCACACCTTAGAGCCCGCCGAGTAGAAGGGGGGCTCCATACGGGGTTGGGCGCCCTGCTCTTGCCGCTGGTGTGCGGCCTCTCCTTGCGGGTAGGCCCGTGCGCGGCCCCTCGCAGAGTCTCCATCAGGTGCTCTATGGGGCGGCTCCCCTCCTCCCGTTGTGGCGGGGGGACACCGAACAGCAGATCTGCGGGCCAAACATCATTAGGAACGGGGTCTGTCCCATAGACATGTGTACCGAGGTGGTGTAGGCGAGCAGGGCGTAGGGGAGGTGTTCGTCCCAGTCCTGCTGATTTGCGGCCGCCATGCGTTTAAGCTTCCTGGCTAGGGTCAGTAATGACATAAGTACCTAGTGCTCCACGAATTCTCGGGCCACCACAAGGGCCGTCTTATTGGGGATGGCCACCGCCACGGGATAGCGGGTGAAGTATTCCACCGCTACGAGGATATACTGGTTGCCCCGGTGGGATCGCGGGAATGGCCCTTGTAGGTCGATCCCAACCAGCTGGTTCATTCGACTGACATGGAACGGTCTCAGGGGTACCTGATATCGCGCCGGTTTCGGCCCGCACTGCTGACACGCGCGGCAGCCCTGTACCCAGGTGGCCACGTCTTGTGCTAATCTGAGCCAGAGATACTGGCGACGCAGGGTCTCCCGAGTGCGCCGTTCCCCGTCATGGCCCCCGAGCGGGTGGTCGTGCACCAGCCTCAGCAGCTGGGGTCGCACCTGGGCGGGAACACAGATGCACCCTGGCTGGCCGGCTTCGGTTAGCTCTCGTACCACCCCGTTCTGCACGCACAACCGGGTATACAAACCACTCCAGGGTCCCGGTAGGGCGCTCTTCTTCTCTCTTAGGGCCGCAGCCACCGCCGCCAGGTCCGGGTCCCGCTGCTGGGTCTGTCTCAGCTGCTCGTCATCCAGGCCCGGGAAGGGGCAGCTGACGTCCCCTTGGATCAGCCCGTTCAGGGTGGGGTGGTCCGTTGGGCCCACGACTCCTTCCGCAGGGGTCTCTGCGGCGCATACCGCACCCTCTCTCGTGGGAGGGGGGTTAGTTTCAGCGCGCTCCTGGGGGGCCGCCGCTTGTCGGCAACGTTCCCCCGTGAAGCACGGGCAGGCTTCCTTCGCCCTCGTCTCGGCGCACACCACGGGTCGCCTTGACAAGGCGTCCACGTTTGCGTGCGTCCGCCCAGCCCTGTATTGAATCTGCAGGTTATATTCCTGCAGCTGCGCCAGCCATTGGGCCATCTGCCTCCACGGTTCCTTGAATGTAAGGAGGAACTACAGGGCATAATGGTCAGTGCGCATCCGACATTTTCTGCTGTACAAGTACGGCCGGAACTGTTTACATGCGATGATCACGGCGTACAGTTCTTGACGGGTCACACAATAGTTCAGCTCGGCCTCGCTCAGGGTCCGACTGGTGTATGCGATGACCCGCTCCGTCCCACCCTGCACCTGTGACAGCACTGCGCCCAGCCCACTGCTGCAAGCATCGGTGTCCAAAATAAAATCAGTGGTGAAATCGGGGAAAGCCAGGGTGGGAGTGTGGGTGAGGTGTTCTTTGAGGATGGTGAAGGCCATCTGGCAGGCCTCCATCCACTGATAGGGTTTCTTAGGGGATGTGAGTTGGGTGAGGGGGCGTGCAATCTCGCTGAATCCCTTTACAAATCGACGATAATAGGTGGCGAGCCCCAAGAATGACCTTATCTCCGTCAGGTTCCTTGGCCCTGGCCAATCCACTACAGTGAGTACCTTCTCCGGATCGGTGCGCACCCTTGCCTCGCTGACTCGGTGTCCGAGGTACCCCACCTCGCGCTGTGCAATGTAACACTTACACGGTTTGAGCTTGAGATGGGCTGCTCACAGTCGCTGGAATACCTCTCGCAGCCTGTACCAGTGCTCGGACAGAGATCTACTGAACACCATCACATCATCCAGGTAAATTAGGCACTGTTCCCACTGCAAGCCCCGCATCACCAACTCCATCAACCGCTGGAACGTCGCAGGCGCATTAGTGAGTCCGAACGGGAGCACCCGAAACTCAAACAGTCCCATCGGGGTGGTGAATGCGGTTTTTGGCTGATCCTCCTCCGCCATCTCCACCTGCCAGTACCCGGACGCCAGATCGAGGGTGTCATCGATGCGTGGGATGGGGAAGGCGTCGCCGAGGGTGACTGCGTTCAACTTTCGGTAATCAACACAAAACCAGGTCGACCCATCTTTTTTCGTCACTAGCACTACCGGGGCAGACCAGGGGCTCGCTGAGGGCTGGATTATGTTATCGCGAAGCATATCCGCGACTGCCTCTTTAATCTGGCCCCGTTCAGGTGCGCCCACTCGGTATGCGGGGATTTTAATGGGTCGGGCGGCACCGGTGTCAATTTGGTGCTTAACAAGGTCTGACCGACCCACATCCGAGTCGTGTTCACTGAACACGTCGGCGTACTCCCGCAGTAACCCGCACAGCTGATCGGCCTCCCGCTTAGGTAAATCTGCACAAGGTACGTGTAACGCGTCAAGCAGGGGAATGGCCTCGGCTCGGGGAGTCGGGCCGACTCGCCAGGCCAGGTGCTGGTTGTCCTCGGGGCGACCGGGGTCCTCAGCCCAGAGTGCAAACACCGAGTCGTTAGAGTGGCGCGCGTGCAGGGGGTGTATGGTGGCTACCGGGGTGCGTCGTCGTAGCATTGCCGGGGTACTGTGTGGGTTAAATACCCACATGAACAGTCGGCCCCCATCTGCGTTGACCAGCGTGGCGGATCCCACAACCCCGTAACGCGCCGCCAACTCCGGGTGAGGAGTTAGCATTACCTCGCCCGATGGCCGGTGTGTGGGGTTGGTGAAGGGTGTTGTCACTGGTACCAGCATCTCGGCGAGCGGCCCGATGGTGACGGCCGACACCAGGGTAGCGGCCACGGGTGTGAAGCGGGGGCGATTCGGCTCTTGTCCCAGAAAAGGAATCCGCTCCCCGCTGCCTTCCAAGGTGGTGCATCGCTGGCAGGGCTGCACGTTGAGCCCCAGCTTTTCCAGGAGATCTGTACCTGCGATACACTTATGGCACAACACACTCGAGACATAGAATACCTGGGTGCACACCTGGTGTCCGAGACGGACCTCGAAGGTGATCCTTCCCAGCAGCCCCATCCCGGCCCCGCTTGCAGTGTGCAGCGCGTGATCCGGGGCCTGCAGGTGGCCCACGTCAACCCCGAGTACACTGCAGTGTGTGGCGCTCACGAGTGAGGCCACTGCCCCCGTGTCCAACAGAATCCAGGTACGCCACCCGTTTACCTGTCCTTCCACCAGCGACGTTGCTCCCGTGATTCCCGCCACTTACTCCCATAGCCAGTCGCCAGGAGTCACCGTGTTCTTAGGTGCTGTTGTCGGAATCTGTGTGGAGGTCACTCGCTCACCATTATTATTATCGTCATGTATTGGGACCGCGTCAATTGCACCCCTAGTTGGTCCACTCTCTAGGGGCGTTGGAGTTTAACCCTGGTGCATGTCTAGCACGGGCGATCTGAGGACAGTCTCTCATGAGATGCCCTCGACGGTTGCACAGGTAGCACGCCCGGGGGCCGGCCCCATAGGAGGTTCCCTGTCCGTTCCTTCTCCTCTCCCCGATACGTGTCTGCCCAAGCTCTGCCTCCAATCGGGACACTCGTCCAGTTAGTCCCCCTACCGTGGAGCGCAGCTCTCCCATTTCGGACTGAATGGTCTCAACTGTAGACCGTACATGGGCGCTCTGGCCGGCTATTTCTCCCATGTCGGTCTGTAGCCCTGCTACCCATCCCGGGGTAGTCTCGCGGGGCCTCCTTACCATCCTGGCGAGCTCCTCCTCCTCCTCTGGGAGCAAGCTCGCGAAGCCCCCGAAGCTGTGTGTGCTCACTAGCAAGTCTCTCGCACTTACGCGCGCGCTCGACCAGGGTATTAAAGGGAAGACGTGCACAGATAAATCGGGGTGCCACCACGAGTTGCGAGCCAAGTACCGTTGGATCTTTTCGGCGGCGAGGTCCTCAATTGCCTCTGTCGTGTACCCTGGGCGTGCGGTCTGTGTTAGCGAGCGCACGTCCTCAGCATAGTCACGCAAGTCCTTGCCGGGTTGGCGCCGGCATGCCTCTAAGGCCACCTTTGCCTCCTCCTCATTATGCGCACCGAAGCGTAGGTCAAGTTGGCGCATTAATTCTCCTAGCTGGGTTTGTGTGCTTGCGGGTAGAGCTTCCACAAAGTCAGCTGCCCGTCCCTCTAAATGTATGGTAAGTTGCTCTAAGGCCTGTGCGTCTGTTCAGCCATTAATTTTTTTTAGCCCCTGTGATGTTGCGGGCAAATGATTTCCATGAAGGAATCCCCTGGCCAGTGAATACATACCTTATTTTAGCCTGGGGTAATGCGCCGGGGTTTCGTACCGCTTCTGACACCAAATTGTGGGGGCTGATGCCCCTCTCCTCCTCTCCCCATCCAACCTCCTCCCCTTCAAGCCAGGCTGCCGCCGATCGAGTCATCGGCCTCCCAGCACCAGCATCCTCTCTGTGGGACATGGCTCGTGGCTGGCTCTCTACCGCCTCACGTTATTCTGCCTCCCACCCCCCCCCGTGTAAACCACCACTCACGCTGCGGGGGCTGCAGGCGCGTGCACACCGGACCTGCTGCCCACCACGTGTACGCACAGCCACCCGTACTCGCTGCTCACCACGTGCACGCACTACACAATAGCTGTATGAATAAACACACACCACGCTCAAATTACACACCACGCTGATGCCTTCTCCACACACACAGAAGTCACACAACGTCGGTGTTCTAGGCTAAAGTTTATTACTTGCGCGACTGTAAGCAAACCTTGCGTGGCCAGGAGCCAAAACCATCCAGCGAGCAGCGTCCCTGCTACCCCACCCTCCTCACTTATCCCTCACTAAGCCCTCTGGGAGCCCTCACACGATCCTTCCCCCCTCTTACGTACTCACGATTTCGACTCCGAGGTGTAGGAAGCCGTGGGAAGGCGAGACTGCACGTAGTCCTCGCTGGGAATGGGGCCTGGCTGCGCTGCGACTCGTCTCACGAACGATCCAGTAGCAGGCACGATGACTCCACCGACCCTTGAATCCAGAAGAACCCGACTGCCTTGCCCCTACCTTCCCTGCCCTTTTTATGGTCCCTACATCAAAGATAACGAGCCGCTAATCCGCTGGCCTCTCGTGCAATCAGGAGCCTTGGATTTCCCGCTCTTCGCTAATCTGATCGGTGCTCTCTCCAACCTCCGCTTTTTACTCTTTGAACAAGCACACACGTCGTGCAAGGGGAGGGCCTCCTGCCTTCCCACCACTCGCTACTCAAACCCACCCCCTACTTGCTTGCTGACCCGTGTGTGTTTTTGTTGTTTCCTATCCACGGTGGCTCAGCAGCCCCGTCGTGACCATGTAATTACAACACAAGTCACGGCGCCACAGTGCACATTAGCCTCGGGGGAGGTCGCCCAATTCCCTGGTCGCAGGATACCGTGAAGTTTGGTCCCATGAGAGGGCTTCTGGGTGAAAACCTGTCGGCCAGGTGACCTCCCCTCGGGGCTCTATGTGGGGGTGTGTGTGTGTTCATGTGGGGGGTGGTGAGGGAAGAGCAGCGTCGGCCCCGTCGCTCGGAGGTGGCGGCGTCACGGCCACGGAGTCGGCAGGACGGCTTCGCTGCTGCGGCATCACAGGTTTTTATATCTGTATGGCAATGTCTGTGTGTGTGTGTAGGTTTCGATATCTGTATGGCAATGGCTATGTCTGTGTGTGTAGGTTTCTATATCTGTATGGCTATGTCTGTGTGTGTGTCGGTTTCTATATCTGTATGACTATGTCTGTGTGTGTGTAGGTTTCTATATTTGTATGGCTATGTCTTTGTGTGTAGGTTTATATATTTGTATGGCTATATGTGTGTGTGTAGGTTTCTATATCTGTATGGCTATGTCTTTGTGTGTAGGTTTCTATATCTGTATGGCTATGTCTGTGTGTGTGTGTAGGTTTCTATATCTGTATGGCTTTGTCTGTGTGTGTGTAGGTTTCTATATCTGTATGGCTATGTCTGTGTGTGGGTGTGTAGGTTTCTATATCTGTATGGCTATGTCTGTGTGTGTGTAGGTTTCTATATCTGTATGGCTACGTCTGTGTATGTGTAGGTTTCTATATCTGTTTGGCTATGTCTGTGTGTGTAGGTTTCTATATCTATATAGCTATGTCTGTGTGTGTGTGTAGGTTTCTATATCTCGGGGCAGCAGACTGCCAAACAACAGGGTGTGGCTCTTCTTTTGAACAAAATAATGAAGGGGGCATGGGAGCGTGGCGGTGAGGTGTGAGAAGCTGTAAGCCCCACGCTACTTTGGGCTCACCTTCCCATCAACCGGAGGCGAGGAATGGTGGTCGTGGTTACTTATGCCCCCACCGAAGATGAACATCCGTGGAGGGATGCAAGCAAAGCCGATGAGTCAGATGCCTTCTATGACCTCCTGTCACAGGTGCTGGCTAAAGTGGCACCTCGGGATAGAGTCATCATGTTGGGTGACTTCAATGCCCGAGTTGGTCATGATGCTGGCACCTGGTCTGGAGTGATTGGAGGGCATGGGCCAGATCAGCTCAATAACAACGGTAGGAGGCTGCTAGATTTTTGTGCAGCCCATGGGCTTGTAATTACCAACATGCTGTTCCGGCATCGGCGGATCAACACAACATCATGGATGCATGCCGGGTCCAAGCAAGAACATCTGCTGGACTACATAGTGATGGACCAGCGGATGCGAGCCAATGTCCTTGACACCAGGACCTACCGTGGAGCTGATCTGCCCTCTGACCATCGACTAGTCATCTGTAAGATGCGCCTGCCATTCTTCCACTCCGGTGGTGGGTGTACACCCAGGACCCCATTCCAACATAAAGTGGCCTGGTCTCAGTTATCTGATGAAAGTTGCAAGCGAGAATTTCATCATCGCGGCTGGGATTGGCATCGTCCCCGACTCCTCCTGATGTCGAGGGTAAATGGACG